ATGCAGGACATTCCCGACGGGCTCTTCCTGGACTCGGACATGTACAACGCCCTGTGCAAGACGCTGCAGAGGGATTGCTTGGTGAGCTGCAGGGGGAGAGGTTTCGTGGGATCGTGGGATTGTGGAATTATAGAATCGTGGAATCATGGAATTATAGAATCATAAAACCATGGAATCATGGAATCATAGAATCATAAAACTATGGGATCATAGAATCGTGGAATCATGGAACAGAATCATGGAATCATAAAATCATAGAATCAGAGAATCAGAGAATTATAGAATTATAACATCATGGAATCATAGAATCATGAAATCATAAAATTGTAGGATCATGGAATCGTAAAATTGTAGATTCATGGAATCATAAAATCATAGAATTATAGAATCATGGAATCATAAAATCATGGAATCATAGAATTATAGAATCATGGAATCATAGAATCACAGAATTATAGAGTCACAGAACTATGGAATCACAGAATTATAGAATCACAAAACTATGGAATCACAAAACTATGGAATCACAAAACTATGGAATCATAGAATCATGGAATTATAGAATCATGGAATCATAGAATTATAGAATCATAGAATCATGGAATCATAGAATCATGGAGTCATAGAATTATGGAATCATAAAATCATAGAATCGTAGAATCATAGAATCGTAGAATCATGGAATCATAAAATCATGGAATCATAAAATCATGGAATCATAAAATCATGGAATCATAGAATCCTAAAATCACAGAATCAGCTGGGTTGGAAGGGACCTCCCAGATCCCCAAGTCCAACCCTTGATCCAACCCCACCGTGGTTCCCAGCCCTTCAAAAACCCTCGCTCCGTTCCACTGGGGATTAAAACCATCCCAACCCTTCTGTGCCTTTTGTTTCCTCTCCCAAAGGTCCTGCAGAGCTTCAAGATCATGGATTACAGCCTGCTGGTGGCCATCCACAACATGGACCTGGCTCAGCGGGAGCAGGGCCTGGCCGACGGCGCGGCCCCGACTGACACGCGGCGCCCGGCGCCGCAGAAGGCCCTGTATTCCACAGCCATGGAATCCATCCAGGGAGAGGCCAGGAGAGGGGGAACCATCGAGACTGACGACCAGTAAGGACAGGGGGGCTCTCCCAGTAAGGATCTGGTGGGAGGGAAGGGGGTTCTCCCGTCCCAGGAGGTGTTCGGGGAGAGGTTGGAGTGACCTGGAATAGTGGGAGGTGTCTGAGTCCAAGGTCTGGGGATCTTGGGGGATTCCAACCTAAACTATTCCAGATGGGATATCAGGGATCAGTTCTTCCCTGGGAGGGTGGGAAGGCCCTGGCACAGGTTATTCCATGGCTGCCCCATCCCTGGAATTGTCCCAGGCCAGGTTGGAGTGACCTGGGATTAGTGGGAGGTGGATCTTGAAGGTCCTTCCAACCCAAACCATTCCAGGTGGGATATTAGGGATAAGTTCTTCCCTGGGAGGGTATTGAATCCCTGGCACGGGTTATTCCATGGCTGCTCCATCCCTGGAAGTGTCCCAGGCCAGGTTGGAGTAACCTTGGAACAGTTGGAGGTGGATCTTGAAGGTCCATCCCTGGAAGTGTCCCAGGCCAGGTTGGAGCAACCTGGGATAGTGGGAGGTGGATCTTGAAGGTCCTTCCAACCCCAACCATTCCAGATGGGATATCAGGGATCAGTTCTTCCCTGAGAGGGTGGGAAGGCCCTGGCACAGGTTATTCCATGGCTGATCCATCCTTGGAAGTGTCCCAGGCTGGGTTGGAGCCACCTGGGATAGTGGGAGCTGGATCTTGAAGGTCCTTCCAACCCCAACCATTCCAGATGGGATATCAGGGATAAGTTCTTCCCTGGGAGGGTGGGGAGGCCCTGGCACAGGATATTCCATGGCTGATCCATCCCTGGAATTATTCCAGGCCGGGTTGGAGTGACCTGGGACAGTGGGAATTGTGGGAAAAGGGGGTTGGAACCGGATGATTTTCCGGGTCCTTCCCAACCCAACCCAATGCATGATTCCATGTTTGTGCTGTCCTAGGATGGGAGGAATTCCAGCCCGGAATTCCCGGGGGGAGAGGCTGCTGCTCTACATCGGCATCATCGACGTGTTACAGTCCTACAGGTCGGTAATTAATTAATGAGTTAATTAATGAATTGATCCTGCTTTGGGTTGGGTTGAGTCAGGAGGACTTTCCACCGTGTTTTGGTCTGGATTGACTCTCAAAAAATGCCTTAAACAGGGATAAACCTTTTAAAAATTATATTATTTTTATCATAATTTAGTATAATAAATTTAATTTATGTTTATAATAAATAACATTGTAATTATAATTATAATAATTATATTTTATTATTATATATTATGTAATATATATTATATATCGTTACATATAATATTATTATAGTTATATATTGCAATTAATAAAAAATTATTTTATAATAAATAATTATAAATTATAATTTATTATTATTTATTTATAATATCAAGAATGAAGAATATTAATATTAAGGAAGCGGGAGGGGAAATACAAAAGAAAAAAGTGGCTCAAAATGACCAAAACCATTTTGAAAAATAACTGAAAAATAACAGTGAAACTTAAAATGTCTTCTGTTTTTATTAATGTATTTTAAAATATTTTAATATTTAATTTTTAATTTAAAAATAAATTAAATTTATTTATTTAAATAAATATTACATACTATGATACTATGAATTATATTATTAATATATTAATTTACTATATAATATTAATGCTAAATAAAAATTTAAATGAATATTTAAATATAATATTTATAATAAAAATGAAAAATTAAATTAAATGAGGTGAAAATTGTCTTTCCTTCCTTGTCAGGTTTGTGAAGAAGTTGGAGCACTCCTGGAAGGCCCTCGTGCACGATGGGGTGAGTGGAAAACAGCACTTTTTTAGGGGAAAAAACCACCTTTTTAAACCATTTCCAACCACTGTGGGCTCTGAATCCCAGATTTCCCAGGCACAGAAATATTCCCCTCAGGAATAAATAAATTTTAGCTGTTTTTTGCTGTTATTTGCTCACTGATATTTGTATTTTTTGCCCTTTCAGGACACGGTGTCTGTGCACAGGCCCAGCTTTTACGCCGAGAGGTTCCAGCGCTTCATGTGCAACACGGTCTTCAAGAAAATCCCACGTGAGCCTTTGGAATTTCCTTCTTTCTCCCTGTTTTTTTTGCCCCCAGAACTAAAAAAATTATACTAAAAAAAAAAAAATTAAAATATACAAAAAAATTAAAATATACGAAAAAATTAAAATACTATAAAATTTAAATATTTATATAAAAAAATTAAAATATTAAAAATTCTTTCCCTGCTTTTCCCCCTGTTTTTTATATATATATATATAAATTAAAATATTAAAATTAAAATCTTAAAAATTGAAATATTAAAAAAATTAAAATATATATTTAAAAAAATCCCACATGAGGGTTTGGAATTCCCTTCTTTCCCTGCTTTTCTCCCTGGTTTTTTTCCTCCTAGAACTAAAAAAAAATTAAAATGTTAAGAAATTAAAATATTTTAAAAAATTCCTCGTTTTCCTTGGACAAAATAGGAAAATCCCACATTACAAAAAAATTTAAAATATAAAAAATTAAAGTATTAAAAAATTAAATATAAAAAATTAAAATATAAAAAATTAAAATATAAAAAATTAAA